AATTTGGCGAATTGCAAAATAACAGACGAAAATTATAAACAATTCCACGCGCGGAAGCAACCTATGCTAATTTTAACCATGCATAGGCAAAAATATTGAAAATTATAGGCAGACAATAACTTTGATATCCATATCTATAAAAAGAAATAGTTTATATCCAACAAAATAATTCAATTAATGCATTAAATAAAAGATGTATATATGTAAATATTTTCTTAGTATTTTGTTATTATTTAATCAATGAAATATATATTAAAACAATATATTAGCTTTATATGATACGGAAAATCGATCCATATCTTTTTCAATTTTAAAATATCCCATAGACAATATATATATTTGATTAATATATATATGTATCAAGCATCATATCTTTCAATAGATTCTTTAATTTAATCTATAAGAAATTGAATTTGTTTTAATTATATTCATCAAGAAATATTTATATCATTCTTATTACGAAATCATCTTCGGATAAATCTATTTAACAAAGTATATGTTTTGTCGTATATCATGAATTACAATTTTATAAAAACATAAAATATTTTCATAAATCCGACAGTTTACCGATATTATGCAAGCATATATTCCAAATTCCACGGATTTAATACGACATATTCAATATATATTTTAAACATTTCATAATCGTTGATAAATAAATATATAAAATAGATATTATATTTTTAACACCATTACAATATTTCTTTAAATAACATCAATTATAAGAAATATATCAATTACTGAACCACCAATACATACCCCTCCAATAACAACTATAATGCAATTGCCACGAAATTTCATTCATTAAAAAATTGAAAAAAATGTCGTCTAATAGTTATATTTAAATATTTTTTTGAAATTATATTCATTCATTCTACAAATTTTGACAAAAATCAAATTATAAGAAAATATTTATATAATATATTTATATATTATCTTTATATATATAAAATATCTATATATAAAAAATATTATTAACATCACAAAAATTAAACTATATATAATCTTCAGAAGAATTTTATTACCAAATTAATAGAGAATATCAATTTCTTCAATATAATATTTTTACCAAATTTATATTATCATATAATGTTAAATTCCATTTATATTACAAAACATTCTATCTCAAATTATATAAAGAATCTGAATTATTAATTTACATACAATAAATTATACACTTAAATTTTCAAGAATTTAATCAAATAAAACCTATAAAAAAACAAATTGCAATCATATATTTTACTATCTGCATTACATCTATATTTTTGCAAATATTAGTCAAACAATACCGTCGATTTCGGAAAAAAAACTATTATCTAAATAGGTTTTAAAAAATGATGCATTATTTTCAATATTAAACTAGAAATCTATTAAATCACTAATATGCATATCCTGAATTGGTCCCCTATTTCCAATAGTGGAGGATTACGGGGAAAAGAATAGAAGAGTCAAAGGTTGGAAGAGGAAAAGAGAAAAGGTGGTAGCGGAGGAAAGGTCGATATAATGATTAGAATACCTAAATATTCTAAAAGAAAATTGTGTATATTCTTCTTTTGCACGCCTACGGAATTAGTAGGTCGTATGGATAGAAGAACCATAGAGATGGTCCACGACCTTTATGCTATAACAAAACATATTTTCCACCCGTGATCATGCAATCTAAATATCCGGCGCTCCGACCTACGCAATAATTTTTGGCATC